TCCTGGTTTCCCCTAATTAATCGGAGCTGAATCACTAAGACCTGGAGCCGAGCTGAGTCACTGAATAAAGGAGCAGTACCACTGAGTCTGACTGAGCTGAGTTCTGTGTCTTACTGCCTATGATCCAGTCTTCCCGGAGAGGGCTGTCTCTTTGTAAGCCACGACTCATGGAGACCCTGCTTTCGCCATCCCGCACCTCCCCTCGTGACCCAGCAGCTGACGGGATCTCGAATCCAGAGGGAGTGCCTGGTAGATTGGGACAGAACCGCCCGGGCGGCTGACAGTGGTCCTCTAGAGCCGCCAGCCCCGGTAGCAGAGAGCCTCAGCAACGCGGTGCATGGGACCCGCTCCAGTGACGTGGGAGAGACAGGCGCCAGCCAGCAGCTGGCGTTCCGTGAGACCCGCACACCCATAACTGTACACTACCTCCCCTTCACCTGCACCATCTCCTTCAACTCCACTGAGGATGTGGGTTAGTTCTGTTCTCAGAAACAAGAAAAAATGTTTTGGTGTGATGTAATTTTTTTTTTTTCTAGTACACATGAAACAAATTCTTCCTTGGTTAAAATTTCAATAGTTTGGTCTGGAGAAACAGCTCAGCTGTTCAGAGAACTAGCTGCTCTTGAAGAGGACCTGGGTTTGGTTCCCAGCACCTACATGGCAGCTAACAATCATCCATAATCCCAGTTCCAGGGGATCCAATGCCCTCTTCTGGCCTCCTTGGGTATTGCATGTACATGGTACAATTACATGCAGGCAAAACACTCATAAAATAAAAGAAGGGCTGGAGAATTGGTTCAGTGATTAAGAGCACTGGCTGCTCTTGGCAGAGGACCCAGGTTCGATTCCCAGAACCCACATGGTGGTTAACAACTGTCTGTAACTCCAGTTCCAGGGGAATCCAAACCCTCTTCTGACCTCTGCAGGCATCACACAACACAGGTGCACTTACACACATGCAGGCAATACAGTCATACACATAAAATAAAAATAAAATATTTTAAGAAAAAAATTTTGTGGGGTCAGGGAGGGGCCAGCATCTCACCGTAGCCCCAGCTGGCCTGTAACTAATTATGTTGACCAGGTTAGCCTCCATCTTACAGAGATCTGCCTGCTTTTGCCTTCTGAGTGCTGGGATTAAAGGCATGTACCACCAGACCTGGGTCAAAATGTTTTTTTTTTAAATGTCAGTAGTTTGCTGGGTGTGGTGGTGCACACTTTTAGTCCCAACACTTGGGAGGGAGAGGCAGACAGATCTACATAGCAAGTACCAGGCCAACTGGGGCTACAGGGAGACCCTGTCTCAAAAAGATAAAAAACAACCCTAACAATTAAGTAGTTTGTCTTTGTCCCACCTAAATCTACTACACAACTGCTAATTCTGTGCATGCCACATTTGAGAAATGAGTGCCTTGGATCATGTCCAGTGAGTCTGTCCTCATTTCTGAAATGCAGAGTGTCAAGCTCAGGAACTGAACTGTTCTCTCCTCTCCCCCAGCTTGTATGTGATAGAGCAGGGACTTAGGATGGCCACATGAGTGCTAAATGGGTCACTTATATTATGTAGTGGGTACCAGATAACCCACTTTACAGAGAGGGAGAGGGACACTGAAGCTCAGGGAGATTAAATGATCTGAGACCATCCAGGTAATACACCTAGAGACAGGATTTACAGGAATTTTTTTTGGATTGTTTTTTTGAGACAGGGTTTCCCCTGTAGCTCCAGACATCCTGGAACTTGCTATATAGACCAGGCTGGCCTTGATTTCATAGAGATCTCACTTACCTCTGCCTCCTGAGTGTGGGAATTAAAGGAGTGTGCCACCATACTGAGCTCCATAGGCAAAAATTTTGACTCTAAAGTTCGTTCCTTCCAGGACTCTACCTTTGGCAGGTGTTGGGAGGGAACAGTGGGAGGTGACAGGAGTTTGGAGATGTGACTCTTCCCCCTGCGGTCCCTGGAGAAAGGGCCCACTGTGGAGTAGGTGGATTTGCCCCATCTGTTCAGGTGTGGGTGGCAGACAGACTTCCCTCTCTCTCTGAAGTCCCCTTGGGATTCCCACTGATTTTGCAGGTAGCAGGGACAGTTTTTCATGGCTGTGGCATTTCAGAAGGGGTGAAGGAAAAAGGAAACCTAGGTGGCAGATAGGGTGGTTGGGTGGAGTAGAGACAGAGGCTATTACCCTCCCTCTCCCACTGCTGGGTTGGACAACAGCTAATTACAGAAGCCCCCGCTCTCAGCATCCTCCCCTACAAGGGGAGAATAACCTCACTGATTTAAGAGATGATCAAATTACCGGACGTTCCTGAAAGGGTTTTGTAGACTACAAGTTACTGGTGAAACATGAGCAGTTATTAGTATTATTTGGAATAGTAAGGGGCTGAGGAAATAGCAGAGTTAATAAAGTGCTGGCCTTGCAAACACAAGGTTAGATACCCAGGCCCACATAAGAAGCCAAATGGGGTGTAATCTCAGCACTGGGAAGACAGGGACATGCAGACCCACACTAGCCAGCCAGCCTAGCCTACTTGGCAGGTTATAGGGCAATGAGACACATCTTGCCTTAAAAAAAAAATGGTGTATGGTACTTTCATTGTCTATTTATCAGGTGATGGACATCTAGGTGGTTTCCATTTCCTGGGTATTGTGAAAAGGGCAGCAATGCACATGGATGAACAAGTATCTCTGCAGTCGGATATAGGTTTCCGGGTATATGCCCAAGAGAAGTATGGCTGGTTTATAGGGTACAGTGATTTCTAGCTTCTTAAGGACTCTCAAGACTGATTTCCACAGTGGCTGCACCAGTTTATACTCACACCAGCAGTGGGTAAGAGTCCTCTTTCCCCCACATCCTTGCTGGCATTGGTCCTAGTTTGTTTTCTGGATCTTAGCCATTCTGAATGGGGTAATATGAAATCTCAAAGTAGTATTAATTTGCATTTCCCTGATGACTAAAGATGTTGAACATGTTAAAACTCTTTTTAGCCATTTGTGTTTCATCTTGAGAACTCTGGGCCCCATTTTTAAATTGGGTTTTGTATGTGTGTGTGTGTATA